AAAAATGTGGCTTAGCCGCCCAAGAGGCTCTGTATAGAGACATTTTTATACCTTTTTTAATGTCTAATTCTGTTGTGTCTTAATGTTCATTGTAACGGTCATATTTGAGTTTTCTTGTATTAAAATAAAATAACATTTGATCTAATCAATAAACCGTCGATTTTTTTAAATAAATGAAGCTTAGATAAAACGAATTTTGAAAAAATATTAAACACAAGCGGAAGCCAAGAATTCGGCATTTTTATACAGTTGTGCTTATTTATGAAAAAGAAAAAGCTTTCAGGGATCGTTTATACGCAAAATCAAGTCAAGTATAATTCAATACATCGTATATTATGATTACAAATTATAAAAAAACAATATTAATTTTTCCAAATTTTTCCTGATCTGTATCTTTAAATGGGCTTAATTAATAGTTTCCAAGATTCCTGATTACCTAAGAATCATTTAATTAAAAAATCAAGGATTCATTCATTAGATCAAAAGTTCCGCATGAGGGTCAAAATGAAATTATAACTCAAGCAGGCTCGATATCTAATAAATTTCGGTTTCATGTACATCTTGGAACCAGTTGAAAAGGTTTGAATAATACTTAAACCATTTTCAAAAGCGTGCGGTGAGAATTATCGTTTACTACTTGATTGTGAATTTTTTATCCTTTTCCGCACAACGTGGATTCCGCGCGTTCCTCATGTGGAAGAGCGGATCTATTGAAAATCTCAACAAGGAAAGAACTTTATGCATATTCGATGTATTTTATGTTTTGAAGAGCACAATCTCTATTGTCTCAACAGGTATGTCAGCAAACATTTCATTAGATGGCTTGTTGAGCAAAAATGTAATATACATGTAATTTTTGCATATAGAAAAATAGTGTAAATTTCAACAAGTTTCGCCATGTTTTATTAGTAATGTTTAACTATGCTATTAATCGGCCAAGTATCCTTTGAACAACTTTAAAATATTATTACCATAATATTACTAAAGTTAAAATTGCATCTTCAACAGCAAATTCTAAACGATTTATTCAATTTTTTTTGTTTTACGCCCCAATGAATTGTTATTAACACATTTCACGCAAACGCTACCTACTTAATTTCGGTATACTCTCGAAAGCATATAAATTTTAGTTTGCCATTTCATTCACTTTGATTCACACGGATTGCAAACGTTTCCAATGAATAAATTCCTATTTAACCCCCCTTCCTATATCATCAACTTCAGTGTATAGTCAAAACTGGGAAATAGACCATAAAGTATATTCAACTATAAAAAAATGTGGTATAAAGGAGATAAAATTTGAACAGCATTCAATTAAATCGACTTAAAATAAATGAATTGCAGTTTGAATACATTCATTGTATTGTACAGAATATTCTCGATGTGGATGCGCTAACATTATTAGTCATTATTAGTAAATGAGAATTAACTTAACTCTCTCTTACTTGCTTTTGTTATTTGGTCACCTAACAAGTCACTTCTTTAGTAACAGGGGTTTATGAAAATATCCTGCAAAGCTACAGAAATTGTTTTGTTGACTCATATTAGTGCCTAGGTATATACCATACTATTAACCGATCAATCCAGTTTTGACGAAAAACTTTACATATTTGGCATATGAGAAAAATAATACGAATTTGTTTAAATATACTTAAGAAGACTATAACATAACGTCAAATCCATAAGGTTCGATGGCATTATAATCATCAGATCAGTGCAGATGAACACCAGACTAAATCAAAATGAAACCCGAGCATTAACATCTGCTAATGCACTAATAAATAAACAAATTATATATGCGAGTTAAAGTGAAATTTGTCTTAACGAAAGTAAAACCACTTGAGATAGCGAGTGGGAGTTATCTGAAGAAAGAAGGGAGTGAGAGAGTGAGCAAAGCATTTACTTTCTTCGGGCTGTCTTCACAAGCTAAACTTTGGGTCAAACGTTCGCAAGATTCAGTTTTTCGTGATACAACGTAATTGTGGATGTGGTTATAATTTGGGTGCTTTAGTTTTGCATTCTACCATGCAATTGTGGATTACTACTATCGGTACGTTCAAAATTTTTGCATATCGCATGCGAAAATTTTAAATTGCTTTATTAGTTTATCTGCATTGCAACTTTGTAAATAATTTGTACGTTTTTGAAATATGTAAAGTGCAAGGACAAAAACGTTTATACTGATGCACTAATAATTTTCGCGCCAAATGTACAACACCTGATATGCCCTTCATAATTTTTAGCGCACTCAAATTGTGCACGCCTCCTTTATTAAAAGTTACATACAAGTATCTACATGATTCGCAGATGTAAAGAACAGTAACATGTAGTATCTACTGTGATATGTAATAATATAATATTTAAGCCATTAGGAAATGTATCAATAATAATACATTCTGCAGAAAATAAATTAAGCAAATATAAGCTTTCTATTATCAGAAAGCATCAGCTTTATTGACATTATTTCTTTTTAAAGATCTTGTTTCAAAACTATTTTGGTGGGTGGTATAAGTAGGCAAAAGAAATCTTTAGAAATTCTCTTCGTTAGTAGTGCTGCTATAATTACTGCTTTCAATGAATCATTTTGCTCATTTTTCATTTATCATCGTTATTTTTTTGGTCCGAATTAGTTCATATGTTGAATCTTCAAAAATACAATATTTTAATAAAATGAGGCCTTCACTTAATATTAAATCGATTCTGTACAGTTTTCTGCATGTGATTGCCGTAATATACTGGCATTAGATCTGTAAAGGTGATGTTTTCTACTAACAAATTTAAATTTGAAATCTAATTAAAAGTTAATTGCAAAAGTGAAATTTCAATTAATGCACATCATTATATCATGAAGTTTACTTTTAATATTTTTTTCGATAGCTTTTCTATTTAATTTATCAACGTGTTTGTTTTGTTGTGTAATTTCGAAGTTCCCCTGCAGATTATGCAATACCTTTCAGATCCAATTCGATGTCACGAAGCGGATGTTTCATCTATATTTTTATTGAATAGTTTTGGAGAAAGTAAAGTCGCACAATTACAGCATTGCCAAAGATTGCAAGTTATTACGTTGAAAGTTTTACATGCAGAAGTGTATTTTAACAACAACAAAATATGCTCGCTCTTTACTCATGTAGGGAGTTCTTGCTTATATATTAAAATATTTATTCTGTACCAGAGTTAAATTAAAACAATTTAAAAAGTGACTTCGACAACACAGCGTGTTTGGCAATTGTATTACCACGTACCGTTTCCTTGATGGTGCACCTACACCTTGACACTTATTTTCAATTTCAACGAAATTGAAGAAACATGTCATCAATTAACTGGGAATTCCGCTCGTACTATGTACTATAGCATATAATTAACAGATTTTGCAAAACATGAAGTATTACATTATATACTCTACGTTAATTTGCGTTTTTTCTAGAAAGACTGCTGATACTATGTTGCTTATTCCACATCTCAACTACCCAATTCAGACCTCCCCATCAACTCACATTTAATAATTATCAGCAGCCGCCTTGGAACCATCAAGAAAAACCAATAAATAATCCAAGATGGGTTAGAATAGATTTAGCTAAACCTGAAAACAATGCAGAATACCAACAATTCAGACGATCTACAGAATATTCTAATGAGGGTCTTGATAGTGCTCGACATTTCAAACCTGAAACAATTTTCAAAATTACCGAAACCCTGGGAGCATTGAATACGGTTGGACGATATTTGGTAAATATGACTCGAACTGGAGAAGGTGCCAAGGTTTCTCAGGATGTACCGAACGCCTTGTATACGATAAGCAAGAATGTGCTGGGACGAAATGTTACGGATACCATTGCTCCTTTAGTGAGAGAAGCTTTACCATTACCTGAAGTTCATGAGGCCCAAAAGCTAACTGATAAAGCTGATAGTAAAGAGGATGAAGACGAGGAAAATGGGGACACGAAAAGTTGTACTACCCCGGAAGGAATTCCAGGGTACGAGCATTTTTACTATTATCGGGTTATTCTCATCGCTATAAATATAGTATTTAATACATAATAAACAACTGCAGGCATGTTCAACTTTAACTAGATCAGTATATTAAAAGCATGTTGAGCCTAAGGAGATTTCATATTGACCTACCAAGTAGTTGATGAATAATTCCTAACAAGACGCAACCTTGCTTTACGTAATGCTCTCGGGATTACCAAGTGAAAGTTATTAATTTGATGCTATTATTCGTACCTCATAACGTTTCGGTAATATTAGTTTAAACATTAACTCAAATTAAATCCGATTTACAAAAAGTCTATTCTGACTTACATTTATGCCTAATTACATGTTGTGGTTTTTAGGTATTGCAATGACTTGAGTGATTGTCCCCAACTCCTACTTAACTTGGGTAATCTTAGACAATCATTGTGCTTCAAGAGTCTTTTCGTGCCAGGAGTTTGCTGCCCTAAACCTTCTTCTGATGATTCTGCTGAAAATTCTGTTTCCACATCTAGGCCATTATATACTACTACTACACAGTCGCATCCTGTAACATTTGCCTCTATCTACTATAATACTGAAAAACCGACCACAACAAGACCAATTGTCAGCACATCTTTAACCACAGTGTTAACTAAGCCTGTTGACCCACCATCTTCAAATATTCCTAATCTTTCACCCGTTGTTAATAACTATGTTGATCAAGAGGGTAAGTTAAAATATATTTTTACATTTACTTTTTTACTTTTGGTCAATTTAACAGAAGTAGATTTTTCCGAAGATTTCATCCTTGATTGATAGATACTTTTTTATTTTGAGCATTTGTCAATGAATAAGGTTGAATCGTTTACTTGATTGACTTCCATTGTTGTACAAACAATATTTTTTAAATCTCAGCTGCTTTGATAATGGCTTGACCCGAGTGTGAACGAGGTGTGGCCATTCTTCCATTTAGCATCACGCGCTTGGTTTCGAAACATAAAGTCTTCTTAATAATGGGAATATCACGCTGCTGTTTGCTTCAGCTTCAATAAATTTCATATTCTCCTACATCCGACTTCGACATCGCTCTAGATTGTCGGGTTTCGCTGCTCCTTAAGTCTGATGGATAGGACACGATAAGTCTCTCTAATTTAAGACGCTCCGCCCAAATATCCTGAGAACTTAAAGCAACAAAAGTCGCAAAGCATCAATAAACATCACGCACCATAAAAATGGATATCGAAATTTAGAAGAAAATGTAGTCTGAAATTAAACTGTAAATTATTAGTATTACATTTGCGAGATTTAAAAAAAAATCTGGCAATTTATACATTTCAAACATGATCTAATCGTTTGCTTGATGATTAACATTTTTTTTATTGAGAAAATCTATGTAGGCGCAAATAAAAAGCCGACAAATATAAGCAGAGAAAGATAAACAACTCAGATCAGGCAAACAATAGGCATTTACAATTCACAGGGTTCCATTCAGTCCATCGTACCATATGGTACCGATAATTAAAAATGAGCGTGTGACGGTGAAGATCGTCAAATCTTTTCAAAGCACAACACCGAGAATTTTGGCAAATGTTGAAGGCTTTAACAGAAGCTCATACTCTAATTTCTTGGTAAAAATTCGTCAAAACTGTATCGGTTCGGAGCTCCAAAGTCATTTTTCATCACAAACCGCGTGGTGTCCAACATTTACATATTAAACATTTACATATTAAAAGATAATAATTTTTGGTATTAAAAAACTACTTATCTTTCAAAAATTCCACCATAACAAAACTCATATTTTAAATACTCACATAAACGAAAAATTTAATAACTAACGCTTGTTTGTTAAATCTACCGACGCAATGAGCACAGTGAAAAACCGTCTATTGAAAAAACCATTAAAGTTTCTCTTATAGAATAAGCTTTAAAGTGAGTAGTTGGAAGCAGTAAGCTTTGGAGTTTGCCATGGGATGCCAAGAAGCGTAAAATGGAACAATACGCGACTCATTTATTGGATTGAAAATTTAAATGATTCTGGTTTCGTAATTAAATTGTAATGAACTTTTGGGCGAAAGCTTCAAATTCGAGAAGCACATGTGCGAGTGTCTTCAAAATGAATTGAAATTTGGAAAGAACAATTTTAAAACGAAAATTTACTGGCAAACATCGATCTACATGAAATCTGCAGAGAGTTATCAACCCAATTCCGCGATAGGCAGCAACATCAAATTTTTTTGACCGGAGTATCAGTGTTAACTTCTAACGCAAAGACTTTGTTCTATTATTCGCTAGACAAACTTGTGCTTTTCTGCCTGATTAATTATTTGTTTTGCTTTGTTTGTACGACTTCTCAAAACAAGAAAAACTGAACACCTGTTCTTTATTGTTGAAAGCGTTATTATCACCTTCCGGTGATACCAAGGAAAAATGTAATATCCATCTATTGGAAGAAATCGATTCATCATTCAATAATGTACTATTTTCTTTTTTCTTTATTACTCTATGTTCTGACTTTTATTAAGGGCAAGGTCTGCTATCAAACATTTATTGTTACTAAAGAGTTACTAAGTTACGCCGATTTTTATGTGTTGTTTAAAATTACCTGGTATATAAGGTGTTCCATAAGTAATGGCGAAAAATTTGAATGTCGCATTTCGGGGTCAAAATAATACGATTTTCAAAATCTCAAAGTCTAAGTTATTTTATATAATGGTCTTTTTCAAATATCTCATGAACAACTTGGAGTTTTTTACTAAAATTCGGTATTGAGCGGTTTTCGAGGGTGACAATAGAAACTCATTTTTAAGTCAGCTCATAGATATCCCCATGTGTAATAATCGATTCATTAAAAAAAAATTTTCTGAAACAGCTGACTAGTAATTTTACAATATATTCTCAACAAAATAGGCGGACCTGTCCTAAGTCCTAAGATCAATTGTTTTCGAAATATTCGCAATTAAAATATACGATGAGATGCATTTATAAAAAAAAACAACATGATATTGCCTGGAATAAGGGAGGACAATAATAATTTAATGACAAATAACAATTTCATGAAAACAACAATAAAAAAACTGGTCAGCGTTTGACAAAAGTTGTTCAAAATTATGTGTATTATCTTCAATTCATTTAATCACACGGTTAGTAAACGTTCTTCAAATTTGAAAAATTAATGATTATTATGAACTATTGCCAGATAATTTTCATTTTTTATTAATAATTGATCTCGGATATCTATAGTTTCTTCATACACTAAGGCGTCAAGTATCCCCATACACAAAATTTAGAGGAGATTAAAGTCCGGACTTCGTGCTGGTTATGTCAAGTAATGCCTCACTTTCAGTGAGAAATTAGCTGGGGCTCCATCCTGCATGAATATCATACCATTGTGTACCAAAAATTAGGGCTATTTTAAAGCCAAATGAAGTTGAAAACCGAGTTGCTAATTAAATTTATCACCCTGGAATGTTCCTCAAAACACAATTTTAGTAAAGTAATAGCTGGTCCTGGGCTCTTTGAAAAAAAAAACTTTGACCTCCTGTATTACTGTTTCCTTTAATTTTTCTTCTAAGTTAAGTTGTGGTAAATCGTATTATTTCTCCAGACGAATTTGGAAATATATTTTTATTATTACTTATGGAATACCTGTATAGACCGACTTCTTTTTTTGTGACATGGATCTAAATGTGAGCAAAACTATATGAGTAGCAAAAATCAACTGGTTTTTATGACTAAAAAGTAGTAAAAATACTGTTTAAGCGAGCGCTATAAGTAGGTACCTGGCTTTAATGAAGGTGTCTTCATTTGCAGTGGTTGCCAATTAACACGCGACACTTCATTAAGTTTTTGTATAATAATTGTTTAATAGAATTATGTTAAAATCTCCCATTATGAAAAAGATCATTCCGCATTGCGCGAAGGAAAGCAGCGGTTCTATTTTCTTAGCAAAGTGACTCTTGTGGATGGTCTATAAACACACATTATTAGTATTTTTCAGTTTCAACTGCACATTCACAGGCTGTACTTTCCCTCATATTAACGTTTGTTTAAAGGTGACCTGATTCACTTTGGGTCTTTCCACAAAGATACACATTTTAGTAATTCTTGCCTTCAAAGCGTGCAATATACAAAGTGTCTCAAAAAGCACGATTTCTCTAAATTATAATTGATCAACCTAAGAGAGACCGAATATCACAGGGTGTAATTACAAATTACAAAAGGTGACATTGCCGTTTACTTCTCTGTTTTTATTGTGTAATTTTTGTACAATAAATTATTTGATTTAATTTAGTAAAAATTAAATACACAACGAACACTACTTTCATCAACAGTCACAAAAGGCAGCAAGAAGAAGGTAGTTACTTAAAAGTTCCGGTGACTTGGTTGTTATCGGACATTCTGAAAACGGCCGCCATGAACTTGTGCTTCTAACGAAGTGGTAACTACAATTATTGCAAAATTTTGTTCTGTGTGTCTCAAAAGTTCTATTAAAGCAACAGGTTATTGAAAAATATTCCATTCTCGTGGACGGACCTGATAGTTTTGTCCATTTCAAATTTTAACTGTGGGATCTTTAGAAATATATATTAAATATTTTTTGTTGAAACTTCAACACCATATAGATATAGGAACATGTTACTTTTGGAACATAATACCAAAGTGAAACTACAACGTTGGAACATGTTCCAGAAAAATAACCGTTTAGCACACCTCTAGTTTGCAGTTTTGTATTTGTGTATTGTTAATTCCATTCTTTTGTATGGATATAATTATGCTTTGATACCATTATTCAGTTATTTTAGTGTAATGTCGTGAGTTTCTGGAGTAAAATTTTTCGGTCTTTTTATTTCTTGGTCTTTTACTGGCGCTGTATTTTTTATGTATTAGTGCTTCGGCATATAAGTGCTATTTTCAATTCGCTCTTTTGCGTTAATTTGTAAAGAAGTCTCAATATAAAACGAGGTAGTGAATGTTGGTGAAAACAGTTTTAAGATTTTTTTCATTACCAAGGACAGTTGTTGCTCCAAATCTTCTGCAGAAAATAATTTTGTGTGTACCTAAACGTATAAAATAACTTTTTTGTTTAATACCTTTAAATGAACTAACCTAGACTTTAAATAATAATAATATGCTGGTGCATTTTAGAATGTGGTATTCCTGAATCGGCAAAATTTCGAGTTGTTGGCGGGGAAGAAGCTTTGCCTGGACGATGGCCATGGATGGCAGCCATTTTTTTGCATGGTTCCAGAAGAACAGAGTTCTGGTGTGGTGGATCCCTTATATCAGCAACTCATATTCTGACCGCTGCGCATTGTACGCGAGATTCCCGACAACGACCGTAAAGTTTATATACTCTTTTAGAAAAACCTCTATTATTATTTAAGTACTGAATGACTTTCTAGATTTGCAGCCAGACAGTTTACAGTGCGACTTGGTGATATTGACCTTAAGAGAGATGATGAGCCATCAGCACCTGTAACTTTTAAAGTATCAGAAATAAGGGCCCACAAAGATTTCAGGCGTGTTGGATTTTACAACGACATTGCTATTCTTAAACTTGACAGACCAGCGCGAAAATCGAAATATATTATTCCTCTCTGTGTTCCTCCTCCGGAGTTGGAGCAGGAACAGTTTGCTGGTAAAAGGAGCACGGTGGTAGGATGGGGTACCACATTTTATGGCGGAAAAGAAAGTACCGTTCAGAGGCAAGCTATCTTGCCAGTTTGGAGAAATGAGGATTGCAATCAAGCATATTTTCAGCCTATTACCAGTAACTTTATTTGTGCTGGGTACGCAGAAGGTGGAACTGACGCTTGCCAGGTAACAGAGTAATGAGCATGCATTACTTTCTTCGTGTTTTCTTCATAATGAATTGATATTTTATGTCTTTTCTAGGGCGATTCTGGTGGACCTTTAATGTTAAACTGGGAATCGAAATGGATTCAGGTGGGGGTGGTCTCATTCGGAAATAAGTGTGGTGAGCCAGGATATCCAGGTGTTTATACCAGAGTAACAAAATATTTGGATTGGATAAGAGAGAATACTAGAACATGATTCAACTTAATAAACAAAATACAAGTTGTGTGTTTTAACATGTAAACATTTGCAATGGCCTAACACCAAAAATATTTCGCATCATTTGCCATCTTTTTGTTTATTTTTATAGTCTAAATTTTGTTATCAACTGCCAGTGATCATACAAACTTTCTAGTTAAGACGGTGATATATTATGTAAGTGAATACTAGTATTTATTAAGTTATTTATACATCGCAATATTAAACCAAATGTGTGATAACAATGTATAGTATAGTAAAACACATTTATCATCTAGGTTTCAGTTTTGTAACAAATAAAAAAATTGTCTGAAGAATAAAAGTTTAAGTAAATCAGTCGTCTGTTAGTTTAGATTGGTTTTCAATTTAAGTACTTTTTTAAATATTAATTTTGTATTTATTATTTACGCATTCCTTACCSTACTGCAGACACRAGTTTCGCCATTTTGACAAGAGTCTGTCGCGATGTAACATGATACAATGAATACAAGGTMGGATATTCATCGGKTCGAAAAYTCAATTTTCTTGCGCACATGACGTCASTGGTTAGCACTTTGGTAAAGTGAMCAGCTGATCCCATTCACAAAATATCCCCCCAAAAATATAGGGGGTATGTTCTGTGAGCCCATTTAAAATKCATGTAACCTAGACGCWGWTTGCTCAATGCTTTGAAAATCGCGTTAGGGAACTGTTTTGTGCTTATTGTGAAGAAAAAYRCCMTAAWGARGTCTTTACACAATMTCTGATTTKCAGCGATTTAGCTTGYTGTRTWGCTCARWGCKTTATTCGTGAAATCGSGTAGAACCAWAGGAAACAATRAATTCATTGTATCATTCAATGAATGCATTGTATCATTGAATGAATTCATTGTATCATGGGGCGAATGCGTTTGGGCATGTTTGGGAATCTTGTAGACAAACAACTGAGCATTTTGCGTTTGATAGTTGGAAAGTGTACTGTATATTGATTGTTTGCTACTTTTAAGTGTCGGTTCAGAAATATGAAAAATGCGGTGTGCAGTTTACGGTTGCAGTAGTAATACGAGAGATAAATCTGTGGAAATAAAGTTTCATATATTTCCAAGACAGTATTTTAAGCAAGCTGTGCAAATGCTTGTTGTCGTGAAGACACTATTAATGTTGCTTCCGCCAGAATATGTTCTCAGCATTTCAAAAATTATGATTACGAGACATGAGAGGAATTTGCAATTCGAACTTTTGGGGTTTTTGCCAAAAACAAACGCTATAGTTTATTGCACATCTGGCAACCGTGCTGGTCTACAAAATAAATTACTGTTATTTTAATTTTCAGGTTTAAAACCTGCTGCAAAGCATTTTGTAATTATAACGAAGATTTATAAAAAAATAATTAAATGTGACAAACACTAAATAAGCTATATTTAATCACATTTAGCAGACAGGAAAAAATCACGGTACTCAGTGACTTCCACTGACGTCATGCAGATCGATGCAATATCCTACCTTGTATTCATTGTACCATGGCGATATAATGCGTTTGTGAATGTGTTTTATTTTTATACTTATTAGCTTCTGGATCCCGTATTGAAGCGCGAAGCGTTTCGTCCTGAGCCTATTGGACTCGTCAGTAAGGTTTAGGAAGGCTCTGCCTTAGACGCCGGAATAGGGCATAGATAAAGACGAGTGGAATAGGGTATACATATTTAGAAGTGGTACTTGAGCCGAAACGGGTGAGGTATATCATAGAGAAACTAAAATAATTTAAAATTATTTTACTTACTCTATGAGGTATATGCTGACATTTGAGATGGTGCTGCCGTGCTGCCACCTGTGAGTCGGTGAATGAAGCTGAATATGATCCACCACATCCGTATTACTTATTGGTTATATTATTATTAATTAAATAAATAGCGCAGAAGAGATAGCAATCAAGTTATCAGCAAAATTAACAACAAACAGGTTCATATACTAACAAACATCGGTTAGTAGTGTTGTTCATATACATGACAACACAGTTTCTTTAGAGGTTATAAACTACTTACATCAAATGCTCGTCTAAATTTGTATTTTATAATAATTGTAAAGCAATATTAAAATGTTATCCAAGCAAAGCTACGGATTTCTAGGAAAGTAGAACAATACATGTAAAAAACTGTGAGACTGATAAGTTAGTTCGTTTGTAGGAAGGGAATGTAGTCAGTTTCTAAAACATGGTTTCAATACCATCAATTATTCAACAACGATTCCCAAACCCAAAACTGGCATAATTATGTTGAACATGGGAGGGCCTCAACACATACATGAAGTCCAAGATTATTTACGGCGAATTATGACAGATACAGATGTTATACAATTCCCGTTCGCCCAAAAGTAAGAATTGGATTCACTTTTCGCAATACCTTTGTCACTCTGTGTACGAAATGCTTTTGTGAATTTGCTCAAAATGCTCTAAATACGAAATGCTTTGAACTATTTGATATATTCCCAACGAAATGATTGATCCAAACACTACGACAATTAAATATAGCTTACTTGTTTATTACTGTAAAAAATGAAGATTGGGTGATAGGTGAATTTAAGGTCAATTTGGCTTATCCCTTCACTTAATGAACTTAACTAAAGCATGGTAAGAAAAATATATGTTGCTGTTCTGCAGTGAACGTAATTCGCGTATGCAAGCCTATCACCACCCATACAGAAACTTGCAAAAAATGCCACTTTTCGCACAGAAGTCATGATCAGTATTAAAGTGTTCTATTTTTGAGCACKGTTTTATTTCGCTTGTTTTACTTTTTCTCGGAAAAATAAACGTGTTAAATCAGGATGAGCAACCTTTTTAATCAACGGGCCAATTTAAATTTTAAWTTTKTTTGGCGGGCCGTACATAAAGTAACACTTTTTAATAATTTAGAACACTTAACAAGATTTATAACAAGCAATAGAATTAAAAAACAACAGGGCTCATAAGATTTATAAACATTTTCGATGTTTACTGAGAAAAATACATTTGTTAAATCGGTAGTATTCTGCATATCAATCACTTCCATTGAAAGTCTTGGGGAACTCTTCCCACATCGATATTAAATGGCGAGAAAAACATTTTCATGAAAACCGCTGTCTTCTCAGCTTCGAACATTTGGAATTGTAATTGAAATTTGTTTATTAAAATGTGTATATATTGTGCGTATTTTTGAGAAGTGGTAACGTTTTCTTTTTCTAAATGTGGAAAGTGAGACATTATTCTCCAAACGATTATGTTTCCATAATTTCAATTTGCGCTCAAAGCCCTGAATTTTATCATACAAGTTGTGAATAAACTGTCCTTTGCCTTCCTTTAAAAAGTTCCACATTTAGATCATTGAGATGCAGAGTCATGTCGATAAGAAACCGAAAATTGCATATCCATTCTTTGTTACCAAAACGAGGAAATGCATATCCATTAGAGGTGTGATTGTGAACGGTAATTTTTTGGTAAACAACGGGTTACAACGTTCCAGTTCCACCTTGGTAATTGTTTCAAAATGCGGTTCCAAAAGGAACATGTTACTTTTTAAATTTTTCATTAAAAATGCAGAATCATGATGGCAGTCGAAATGGTGATGATATATAATGATTTCCTTTATTAAAAACAATTCTTAACATTGGTAAATTTAAAATACTTTTTTTACAAACTGCTTGTTGGGTATTTCGCCTCAAAAAAATGTTTGTCTTTACAGAAGACAGAATTTTCTCACGTCTTTTATTACAGATTGATAAATAGTGCTCATATTTCGCAATAAGAACGAATTATTTATCAAAAAGTAATCAAGAAATATCACCTAGAGCGTATCTTGTGATAGTAAACTGAAAAAATAATAAATAAATAATAAACTGAATATAACGGTTCCTGCTGCAGCTTTGCGGATCGACGTTGTTGAATTCACCAAAAAAAGAAAGAAACCAATAACTTCAATTTGGGTTCCTTCGTTGAGAACTTTATATCCGTTACTTTTATCGCTAATTTACCATATTAAATTTTACAACGAGTTCTCGAATATGTATTATGTACTACATTTCCTCCCGCATTATTCCTATTAAATGCTGCTGCAGCCTTTAGAAACTACCGATTGTCTGCTCCCGAAATGTAGATCATTTCTACACGTTCGGATATTATGTCACGGTTACGGATTATAAGAAAGCACGTATTGGAATTTTCAGGATTCGAAAATTAATATGAATTTTAGTAGAATGATTGATACATATCATATCACTTTTTTTTGGGTAAAGCGCTTTTAGGTGAATAAGAAATATTTAAATTAATTAAATTATAAACAGCACTTTAGAAATTTCGTCGCTTGTATTAGAAAAAGCTAAAAGTTAATATGGTATATCTATTGATGCGATATTACATTCCATTTCAATTAAAATAAATGTGCATATGTAAGTTTGCTCTTTCACGTCACTGTGAGTATTGGCAAGTAATTTTAATATTCAGCCTTATGGGAGAATGGATTGCGAAAAGACGAACAGCAGAAGTTCAAAAGAAATATCAGGAAATCGGTGGTGGTTCTCCAATTTTAAAGTGGACCACTCTTCAAGGCAAGCTGTTATGCGAAAAATTGGACAAAGAGCATCCAGAAACAGCGCCACATAAAGCATATCCAGCATTTCGCTACGCAAAACCTTTTACAGAAGATGCGTTAGATGAACTACAAAGGTAAGTTTAAAGGTTTGTAAATATTTGTTGATGCTAACTTGAGGAAAGTTAAATTGATATGGCGTTACGAACTTGTTGACTTTAACATACATCAGCAGTTTTCATCGAAGTGCAAAGCTTCTCAATTTGGGAAGGCCTCAATAATTTTGGATTTTTTATTTTTAGTGACGGGGTTCAAAGGGCAATAATTTTCTCTCAATATCCACAGTACAGTTGCGCGACATCAGGTTCCAGCCTAAATGTTGTACATAAATACTTCCAGAAAAACGGCCTTCCAAAAGATCTTAAACTGAGTATAATTGATCGATGGTCTGTTCATCCTCTTTTGGCTAAGTGCTTTGCAGATTTGATTCAAAAAGAACTTCATAAATTGCCCGAAGATGTTAGAAAAGAAGCAGTAATATTGTTTTCTGCGCATTCCTTGCCTCTTAAGGTAATTAGCGGTCATAGTTGATTGAAAATGTTATTTTGCCAGTACAAGTCTATCAGAAAGTTAGAAAAGTGCTTCTCATAGCATATAAATTTTCTTTATAGGCTGTAAATCGTGGCGATTCATATCCTTCAGAAGTAGGATGTACAGTACAATTGGTAATGTGGGATTTGAAGTACTGCAATCCATATCAGCTCGTCTGGCAATCGAAAGTAGGACCTTTACCTTGGTTAGGTCCATTTACGGATGAATCGGTGAAAAGCTACGCGAAACAAGGGAAAAAGGCCATTATTGTTGTTCCCATCGCTTTTGTGAATGACCATATAGAGACTTTACATGAACTTGACATCGAACTTGTTGAAGAAGCCAAACATGTAAATAACTGCTCTGTATTTTATATATAGGTACCTACTATTTAAGCACATTTTTGTTTTTAGGTCGGTATTGATATTATTAGAAGAGTACCTGCTCCTAACGACCATCCGATTTTCATAGAAGCTCTAACTGATATCGTAAAGCACCATTTGAAGAGTAATCTGCCAGTTAACCCAAAACTACTAAACCGATGTCCGCATTGTGTAAATCCCTCTTGCATATCAAGCAAAACATGGTTTTCTGCTAATTGCAGCCTTTAAGTCGATTTCAGCATCAGGTGAATTTTTGGTATCATATACCTATCGGTGCTTGTTTAGATTTTTTTTAAGTAATGATAATTTGGGCTTACAGTTTGTTATTGGATGTGTTTCAACAGTAATGAGTTTGTTGCTACATATATATTAGTACAGGATATAAGGGTTTTTAAAGACTATGATCTAAACTTTTCTGGGAGGATCGGTCAAGAACATTTATTTTTTATAAATGTTCAAACAAAAAAGTAAATAAATTGGTAAATAAAGCATGTTTTGATGAGAAAAATGCTTTACTTACTACTACATACGAAAAATGTTTATATATGGCATTATGCAAAGCATGGTTTACTGCCACTTGCAGCCGATAAATTGATTTTATCATATAAGAGTATTATTTTTGGAGGCATTGTTATGTCGGCATCGGGTGAAATTTTGTTATTTGATCACGGTTTTTAATTAATGATGATTGTTATATCGAATATTAATTAGAAATAAAACGTATCAACTTTTAAATATGTTTCCATTGCATATCCTTAAAATATATAGATATTTTCATATCCTTAAAAAATTGAGACGAATCCACTCTATAGGAAATAAGCTATTTTTTTTATGGGTTTGTAAATCAAACTAATCGCTCGTAGCAAGGGCGGATCCAGCTTTCAAGTCAGGGGAGGGTCATGTAGTCAGGACAGGTTTCAATTCAATTACAATAATAAATGTAATTAAAAAAGTCATATAACAAAATCAATTTTCTTCAATTGTCTTCTCACAAAACGAGTTAATACTTCCTCCACTTCAATCGATATGGTTTTTCAACGTCGAGAAGTGCCAGTCCAGTTAAGCGCCAAAAAATCGGCAAAAAGCTGATCCGCGAAATTGTGCAAAAATAAAGCCACTGATTCCACCGCTTTTAATGAGGCGTGCAGATTGAGTGTGGATCTTCCCTTTAGATCACTTTTGCACGACACATGCTGTTTCATAAAAATTGGCTTTATCACTATCACTGGCTAAATTTCACTGGAAATGTTTATATTTGGCTGGAAAACCTATTTTGTTCTGGCGTTCATAGAACCAAACTAGTTTGAAACAAAAACCTGCGATTGAAAATATTTGCGTGCGAATAGGCACATTCCACAAAACAGTAAACAATAAACAAACGGAAATCGAGCAGCAAATGATTCATCTAAAGGGAGGATGAAGACAACAATTATTTCATCACGTTAATTCTGTAGTTCGCTGTCTTCGGAAAGTGGCAAAAGCCTCAATATCGATTGAGTTTTTTGTTGGAAAACGTGAATAAATATTTAGTTTGGTACGGGAAGTGAACAAAATACGTCGTCAGTCCTTTGTTTATGAACGGCATAAAGAGGCCTGGAGATTTACGACGAAATCTTACTTAGATATTATTACTTACTTATATAGATTATAAACTTAGATAACTTCTGAAATTGAAAAATTTAAATTGGAATATTATTGAAAATATCGAGGTGCGCCAGCTTGAAAAGGTGTGCTATTTGCATAAACAACGAAAAAGTAACAAATGCGAAAATCGCGTTTTTTCTAAGAAATAATCGCATATAACTCGGTAAGTATGGATTTTAGAGAAATAATGTATACTTTTACATATTGCAATTGTTAAATAATCTACCTGAAATAAAAGATCTTTTTTTAATTTTGTGCCAGGCGCAAAGCTCAAAGTTATGAATATTTTTTTGCCCCCACGCCTTTACACCTTCTTGGACCGTTAAACTATCATATCCAATTGCTATATTAACAAGCGGTTTTAAAGTTTGAGAATTTTGCCTTTTAAATAATTAAGCCCGTGAAGCGAGATTTGCGAGTAAAAATTGTAGTACTATTTTCCTAAACTTTCCGATTTTTTCCCAATCCCGCTTCACAGGCTATTTATTTAAAAGCCCAATTTTTCAAACTTTTTAAAACCGCTTAAAAAGTTTTTAAACATTGAAAAATGGTTAATGTAGCAATTGAATATGATAGTTTAACGGTCGATAACGGTTGCTGTTAATCTTAATTAAGCCACGAACCTGTAACTTTAAAAATATAGTTTTTTAAAAAGGAAATTCTGGAAGTCCAAAATATAACTCACGCAATTAAAAAAAATATATTTTTTCCTGGAAGGTCATTTCACAATTGCATTATGCAAAAACTGTCCGTCCGTTATTAATCGGCCTTGCGGCTCTCGTTTTGCATTGCAATCAAGTAATTTCTCTAAATGTATGGCGTGATTGGGTTATTTTTCCAGTGCTAAATAAATCTACGGATATCCGACTTACCGAACTCTATCTGGTAGACAATTTATAAGTAAAAATTTTAATAAAAGACAATTTATAAGTAAAAGTATTCTTGCATAAGCAATAAAAAAGTAAAAAACGCGAATTTCGCATTTTTTTTACTTTTTTATTGCTTATGCAAATAGCACACCTTTTCAAGCTGGCGCATTTCAATATTTACAATAGGTATATAATTCCCGAGCGATTCCAATATTACCCTTCTTCTTCTTCCGTTAGCTGCTAACTGAAAGATTAAAGTTTTCAATTCGTAGTGGATTTTTATTGTTTGGTCAAGTGTAGTTTGTTTAAGCGAAGTGTGTTCAAATGTAGTGTGAGCTTTTTGAGAATTAATGTGTAGAAATGGAGGATGGGGCGCCAGTTTGCAGAAAGCTGGTAAGAATTAATTATAGTCTATAAATATTTTAGTTTAAACTAGTTTTAGTTTAAACGAGTTTAGTTTTTCTTGATTTATTGTTTAAACGAGTTATTTCTCTTGATTTCCTCTGTACATTTCCAATTATTTAACTTTTGACTAAGTTTCGGTAATACTCAAGAATTTTTTGTGTCTTTTCAGGTTGCACAATGGCGCTGTCGGTAAGTTTGGCATTACTTTGGCCCTCATTGCCATGTATATGTAGAGCTTTTAGTCCCATATTATTGACTTGTATTTTATCATATTGCCTGCATGGCATATTTATTCGACAAGCTCGTAGAGTGTAGATTTACCCAAGTTGAGCCTTTTGGAATAATATTTCGGAGTAGACAAAAACGGAGGACAAAACTTTGATTGCTTTACGATATTTTAATTTTGTCACCTTTGCAGCGAAATTACTAATAATCTAAAAAAATTGGTAAATTAATTATTAGAGTCTTTTTACACTAGGAAACTCATCGCAAACTGGAATGTAATCTTCTAGGGATGATACTGCTTAGAAAAGTGGCTTAAGAGCCACTGGAATCAGATGTGGTTGCTTTAGAAACTCCCCGGAAAGAGAGGTTTTCTCGAATTCAAAAACCTCTRGCACTGCTYAAACAGTTTGTTTGATTTGCATTGCATTTTYATGTTCAGTGGGTGTATATTTGAAGCAAATTATACATTTTTACACAGACTCTTTCCTTTGTTATGTAGCGGTTTGTGGGCGATTGGTTAAATYGAGCCTCAACTACAATCAATGGGYRATTAATCGGGATGTGCAGCTGACCAATAGGAAATATTAATTTTGCGTTTTTTCTAAGGTGTTGAGTTGAGTTTCTAAGGTGTTGTTCTCTTTCGTGGGGAGTTTTCTAAGGTCCATGAAAAGGGACATTTCCTTTCACTAAAGCAAGTGTCCAAAGCACACACTTAACACCTAAAAAAATGTGGTGACCTTTTTTTAGGTCTTAAAAATAAAGTTCAGTAGAAATTAACTTGAAAGTAAATCAACTGYTTCGTTAAAACTTATGCGTTCGCAAAGTGTTACATTATCGAAAAAGTTTGCTGCTTTTTGTTTTTATTCGAATTATCCCACTCGGTGTCCCATAAACATGGACGTACTTCCATTAACGCAATAAACTTGTCATCGTCAAAGGGGCACTCCATATTTTAATTAATAGCGTTTTCAAACCGAAAAAATACACTACTGACAGGTTGCTGCATGAAAAGTATAATCGCGTGTGTAAACAGTCCCATATGCATTAATACAAAAATCGATCTCCCGAAGGGCTGCGAATGTGGAATGAAAAAAAGTCTGACGACGCTGAAATTTCCAACGAGTGTGCTGGACAATTGTCCGTAAGGAGCAGATCGACAACCCCGTAGAAGAAGAATACTCATAACGCTTTTATTTTAATGCAAGTCAATACTATACTGAGTTTACTAGTAGTAACTGTACGTTACTTTAAGTTAT